GGGTGGAGATGTGTTGCCGTGATGGCGGTGTGCTGCTTGCTGGTTGGAACCGCACGCCGTTCCCCCAACACAAGCATGAAGTGACGGCGAAGCGCGTGGCGAGTGGCGGCCCCGTGTTTGTTACTGCGGTTGCGGCGCAGCTGCCTGCAATGTTTTCTCAAATTCCAGTAGGATCCGGCCAACTTTGCAAAGTCCACCCGTGGCATACACGCGAGGCGGTCAAACCGCCCGCCGTCCGCCAACCGCATCAGAGCTTCAGTCTCGTTTCGCACCTCACACCTGCCAAACATGCCGCCCCTCTCACCGCGCCGCAGTGCGCACAAAGCACCCCTCTCACCACGCCGCAGTGCGCACAAAGCAGCCCTGCGGGCGCTCTCGCTTGGCTTCGATGAACCACACGCCCCAGCGCCCCCAAAACCCCTCACAGCCACCCAACCCCTCCCGCAGAGCCGCACCTGACAAAAGTCAGTCGTCCCCAGCTGCCGCCCCTCCACCGCCCCTGCCGCCGCCGCCGCCGCCGCCGCCACAGAAGCATCTGCCGGCCCCAGCGGGCCCAGGGCCACCGGGCGGCGCGGCTTCGCGGGCGGGCACTCGAACGCCATGTATATAGTAACGTTGAAGGTTGCATACGCCAGCCAACCCAGCAAATTCAGCGCCAAAAAGTCAAACGACCTAACGTGATGCGGAGGGAGCGTAAGCAGGGCCGGCGGGCGCATGGGCGGGATGGATGGCGCAGTGCCAGCTGCTGCCAAGGCGGGGCCTGCGGTGCCGCGGCCGCCGCCCGTACCCGCTGGCGCGGGGCTGCTTCGAGGCGAGCGCGGGGGCCGTCGACCGCTCACCCCCGCCTGCTCTTCCCCTGACTGCCGGCCTTCCCCTGAGCGCTCCAATCGCCCTGAGCGTGCGCTGGGAAAGAAGCCCCCCCCCTGCATACGCGCGTGCTGTGAGTTGCGCTGCGCGGCGCCACTCACAGCCCGGTGACGCTCTTGCGCCGGAAATTCAAGACCACCTGTGGGGAGCGGCCCGCGGCAGTCGCGACATCAAGGCACACGCATCACATCTCGCAATCGTCCGCGGCGGGCGGGCCGTCGCCCCTGCTGCGAGCGTCCCGCGCGCCTGCTGTCCTCTTTCTACCCCCTTCTCTTGAAAGCGCCGCGGCGCAGCGCCGCGCCGCGGCTCCCCTGCGCCCGCAGGCACCCTCGACCAAGCGCAGCGTGCGCGTGCGGCTGCTTGCCTGAGGCACGAAGGACAGGCCCCATGCTATAGTGTAGGTCCACCCCAGCCCGGACTGCACAACGCCCCACGGCGGCGCGAGCTTCGTATTGGGCCAGATGTAGCCGATCGCCGCGCCGCTCAGCAGCACCAGAAGCAGCACCTTGCGCGTGCCGCCCATCCCGCGCTCGGGCGGCTGCGGGGAGGCCCGCATGGGCGGCAGGCGTGGGGGCGGGGTCAGAGGGCGTGGACGGGTGCCGGGCCGCCGTGGCTTGGTGCATTAGGGGAAGCTGCCGCGGGGTGCAGCAGTTGGTTCGACCCAGCCACCCTGCCTGTGAGGACGCCCGGTCACCTGCGCGGCCGCTCCGCCCGCGCGGCCTCTACGCCGATGGCTCGCGCGCCGGCCACTACCGCCCCCTAGCTGGCTGCAGGCCGCCCACGGGCTGGTGTGTAAGGCAGCCACCCGCCGCAAGCGGCGACAGTCGAGATGGCGCACTGCTGGAGGCAATTTGCTGACTGGCTGAGGGCCGGCAGCCGCGATGCTGCTCTCTGCGATGTTAAGATTTTAATACTTGAGATTTCAGGCTCGAGTAGGACCGGGAAACAAGCAGAAGACTCGCCCAGCGTAGTGCATTGCTTGATATGACGCCGCTCTGTTTTGATGTATGCCTCTGGTAGTCTTGCAACTGTGGCGATCGATACAACTTGCACAGCGACGGGGTGCTCCTTGGCTGAAATGTGACCACTTCACGCAGAGGGGCCCCCGAGGTGGATCAACCGCGTTGGATCAAACACAGGAGATTACGCCTCAATTACCTCTTATTGATGCTCAATGCGCCGGTTAGACACAGCTAGCTGTGATAGGCTGTCCAACAAGGCTGTGCTGCGTTTGATCGCCGGCCCGGGTGCGGACCGGCCCGGGCGGAGTGCCGAAAACCCGTCTCACGTACAGACTTCACTCGGTGCACTGCTGTGGGATGCTATACCATCAGCATACCCTCGTGCAACCATATGGTGTTGTGCCAACAGTTGCAAGGGTCTGGACACCCTGAGTGGGCGGGTTGTCCAGTCGACGGACGGCCCCAGCCAGCAGGGCTGACCCATAAGGTACATGGCTCTCACCCAAGTTATGGGGCTTTTTTACGAAGGGCGAGGCAACTACTGCGCATGTTGTGTGTACAATCAGTGCGGTCGCCAGGCCGTCCGTATGCAGGAAGGGGCCTGCCGCGGGCCTTGGTCGCTTGTCAAGCGACGCTTGAGGTCGAGGCTGACGCGCGAACTCGGCTGCGGGGCCGCTCGGCCTGTGCTCAGATACATTGTACCTTTCAATCTCCAAGGGTGTGCCGATACTGCCACTCCGAGGTGGGCCCGCCCCTGGTGTCCGGCCGCATCCGTGTTACAGTAGGTTCCATGTTGCAGCTCGCCCACACAGCTGAAGCTCGACAAAGAGCCGTTCAAAGGTATGGCGCCCATTATATTTATTCCCCCGACCTGTAGAACCGGCACAATGTGCTCGTGCGTACGCTGCATGCGTGCCGCGCAGGGGGTTGAAACTGCTGCTGGGTGCAAGGCCTAGCGAGAAAAAGACGAGCTGCCCTGGAACACGGGGCGGCTCGACATGCAGTTGGGCCCTTTGTGAGGCGACTGGGTGTCTTTCCATGGAACATGTCGATTCTATGAATCTTACATCCTTGGATACACATAACGCGGGGAAATCGCGCATGTGCAGCGGCTCGAAGCCAGCGACTGTCCGAGTCCCAACGCCGCTCGTCAACGGCGCTCGTCTTCGCGGCACGCGCCTTACTCGTCCTCTTTCACGGACACAGTAGCAAACATGGCGACTCCTCCCGCGCCTGTGGTAAGCCTCACGCAAGCACCTGCTTTGCTTTTGCGGGAACAACGCGCCTCCGGGCTCCGACTCACTGCCCCCCCTCTGTCCCGCTTCGCAGCCCGTCCAGTGCTTCGGCCGCAAGGTGAGAAAACTTTCTGAACCGGTCTGGGCGCGCTTGGTGTGGAGAGGCACAATCTGACTGCTGCCTTTGCGCCCGCAGAAATCGGCCGTGGCCGTCGCCTACGCGCGTCCCGGCAAGGGGCTCGTCAAGCTCAATGGTGAGTGCAGCTTGCTGATTCTTCCGAGTGGTGATGTTGGGGCGAAGCAGCCGACTTTGGCTTGAGCGATGCCACCTAGCGGTCTCCAGGAGCTTGGTGGCGAGACCGTAGTCATGAGAAGGTTGCATGCCAGGTGGCCCCGCGGGAAGAGCAGTGCGGCAGCGCGGGCGGCGGTGCGACGGCCAGATCGCGCCTGCAGCAGCGCGCAACACGGCGCGCACTACTCGCACAGAGAGCAGAACATGAGCGCAGTTGCGTTTACAGTTGTGACGTTAGAGCTATGTGCTCAGCTGCCGGCCGGCGGCAGGATGCCCGCCAGGCCGGTGTTGAGTGAGGTCCTTCCACACTCAAGCCTGGGTTGGCTGCAGTGTATGAGTGTTGCAGCGGCAGCATGGTTGCCGTAGCAGTTGGCGGCACAATCAGGCGAAGTGGCCATGTGGCGCCAGATGGCAGCATGCACAGCGACGCCCGGAGTGATTATCTTTGTTGTCGCGCAGTGCCATCGCCGCAGTGGCAGCGGCCTCGCGGCAGCCATCTTTGCTTTCTCCGCTGCAGCTGCCGCTGCAAGGATACTGGCAACGTCCCAGCGTTTGTGCGTCAGCCGCGGACGTGGCAGCGAACAGCGGTGGAGATGTGGGTGTTGCATAAGCAGCTACAGCAGGTCTGACCTGGCGTTTGCACACGCGTAGTGGCAGCGCAAACACACCAGCAGAGGAGCTTGCGCAGCAGCAGCAGCAGCAGCACCAGCACGGCAGCAGCACAGCATCAGCAGCAGCAGTAGCAGCAACACCAGCAGCTGCAGCAGCAATTCCAGCGGCAGCAACAGCAGCAGCATGGCTAGTCAAGCTCTGGCATAGAAGCGACGGCCCGGCAACCCGCGTGCTCGTGGGAGCGAGCAGCTGGCAGCAGCTCACACCAGCCGTCCGTCCCTGCATGCTGCCTCCCGCAGGCATCCCCCTTGAGCTGGTCCAGCCCGAGGCGCTGCGCTACAAGGCCTTTGAGCCGCTGCTGCTGCTGGGCAAGTCCCGCTGGGGCTTCCTCGACATCCGGCTGCGCGTGAAGGGCGGCGGCCACGTCAGCCAGATCTATGCGATCAGGCAGGCGATCTCCAAGGCGGTGGTGGCGTACTACCAGAAGAACGTGGATGAGCAGACCAAGGGGCAGGTGGGTGTGGAGGGGTGTTGTGGTGGTGGCGCGGCGGCGCTGCCCGGTCCCGGCCGGGTTGTGAGGCTGTACGTCGCTGTGTGTGTGTGCGTGAGTGTGTGTGTGTGTGTGTGTGTGTGTGTGCGCGCGCGCGTGTCGCGGTTGTTGGTGGGACACAGCCAGAGATGTGGTTGTTGCAATGCTCCAAGCTCACCTGTGGGGCTGTACGCTGGGTTGCGGGTGCGGGGAAGCTGGCGCACAGCCCGCGACAGGGCGCCAGCAGCAGGCCGGCCGAGGCGGCGGTGTCAGCAACCTGCGCACGGGCGCAGCAGGGCGCAGCAGGGCGCAGCTGTCGCGCCGGGTCCATATACACCGTGCCAGACGGCCCCCCAGATCAAGCAGCCGCCGTTTGGGGTCCCAGACCCTTGGGGCTGTATCACAGGTCACCGTATCCTCATTCCAAGACCGTTTCTTGGCATGCCCTCCACTGCGGAATTTCCTGCCTCTTCCGCCGACCGCTGAATGTTCTCCGACCTTACTGCCCATCCATGATCTTGTTGTACTGCTTTTTGCAGGTGAAGGACGTGCTGCTGCAGTACGACCGCACCCTGCTGGTGGCCGACCCCCGCCGCGCGGAGCCCAAGAAGTGGGTGGCGCATGGGGGCCGCACGCGGCGGCTTGTCCGCCCGGGGCGGCGCATGTGGTTTTTGGCCAGTGGCGGTCGCATTTGCCCCAGTTCAGCTGCCGGGCGGCCCTGCTCGTCAGCTGCTGAAATGGATTCGGTGCTGCACCTCGGCCTGCAGCTCATGGATACTGTTGCGTCGTGTGCGGCTCGTCCGAACCCGGGCAGCAGCTGCTGTGTGCTGACGCGTGTGTGCCCTTGTCACCACCCCCCCTGCGCAGGTTCGGTGGCCGCGGCGCCCGCGCCCGGTTCCAAAAGTCGTACCGTTAGAATGCTTGTCGCATGCACGTGCGTGCGGCGGCGGCGGCGGCCGCCGCGCCGGCGGCGCTCGGGGCGGCGCACGCCCGGGCGGGCCGGGGCGTCGGGCGGGCGCGCTCGGTGGCGGGCACTGCTGCGGGCGTGCGTTGGTGCTTGCTGCATGTAACAGATCAACGCACGAGGAGACCGGTTTAGCATTGGGTTTGATTGGAAGGCGCGGCGATTGGCGCCGCTGTCGTGAAAGGGGCTGGGGTCGTGGCAGCTGCGTGGAGGGCGCATTGGGAGGGCGGCCAGATGTGCAGCTGGGTGCACTTGTGTGCGGGTTTGCGAGCTGCACGGAGCAGGGATACTTACTAAGAAATCCACCTGTCAGCTGCTTTGATAGGAACTCATAAAGACGCAGGGGCGGGTTTGAACGCACACGGGTGCATAGGCCAGATCACGAGTTTCGTTTCGCTACGACAATGGGAGGCCTCGCGCGCCTTATAGCGAGCGTGTGTATTATCTTAGCCTCAAGTTCAGCAATCGGCATCAGCATCCCGCCCAGCTACGTGCTCGTGAAGGTGCGGCCCGCACCCACATCAGTCGCGCGCACATGGCGCGGCACAAAGTGGCCGGCGGTGCAACCCTCACCTCCGCTTGGCCGCTCGCCTGCACACATAGGGTGGCACAGTGGTGAACCACGACGGCACGTCCAAGGCGGACGTCCTAATCCACGGCCAAACAATCAAGGCGGTCGGCCCCGACTTGGAGGTGAGCCCTCTACAACTCAAGCCTGAGGTCGCCGCCATGGGCCCGATATGCCAGGGCCGCCTGCCACGCCCATCCACGCCATCTTCTCTAACAGAGGGCGGCGTATCCAAATCGCGCAGCATTCCGGACAATTCGCACAGGCCGCAGCAGCAGCAGCAGCAGCGACTGCCGCGCTCTCGCCCTCCGCAGGCCCCGGCTCAGCTTGCCACCCCAACCGCCACCCCAATCGCTCAGGCGCCCAAAAATGCAAAGGTCATCGACGCCACGGGGCAGCTGGTCATGCCCGGCGGCATAGACCCCCACACGCACCTGGACATGCCATTCATGGGCCAGGTGAAGAGGATCAGGGCGCCCATTGAGCTTCCAGTTCGCTGATTGCCGAGAGGGGCCCCTTGCGCGAGTGCTGCCCGCAGCGCTTGACCGCACCACGCATGCAACCAAGCGACAGTCGCTGAGCATCCGCCTTGTTCTGTTGGTCAGTGGCTTCTTCGAAGCCGCCAGGCGCCCAAGCGGCGTCCGACCTGATCTGATCTCATGTGCTCATCTCATCCACGCCCCCGGTGGCAGGTCACGTGCGACGACTTCTTCACCGGCCACGCTGCCGCGCTGGCGGGTGGCACGACCATGCACATCGATTTCGCCCTGCCCATTGACCACGACCTCAAAAAGGGCTACGAGGCCTGGCAGGCAAGGCCCCGCTGAACCCTGCTGCGGCCTTGCAACCCTACACATGCATGACATGTTGCATTGCATTGCATGCACCTGAAGATTCCCAGCTGCTGCCTCGCGGATTTCAAAAAAAGTGGCTGCGCGCCGGCTCATCTGCTGGCCTCTTGAGACAGATGAAACCCTGCCCACCACAGCGTCGTCACCCCCCGTGTGATGTCAGCAAGGCACTACGCTGCGCCGCGCATACGTGCATGTGGTTGAGTATTGACTCACCCACCATTGGCGCCCCCACACTCGCAGAAGAAGGCCGTGAGGGGGTGCTCTGACTACGGCTTCCACATGGCCGTCACCAGCTGGAGTGACAAGGTGGCGAGTGACATGGGGGACCTGACTAAGCTGGGTGAGCGCGCTTTCCCTTGAACCCCTGAATACCTAAATTGCTGATCCCTGTTCGAATCAAATCCCTTTCTCCCTGGTCCCTGAAACTCCTGAAGGAATCAGCTTGTACAGAATCTCCATCTTCGAAATCTTCTAGCCCCCACGCGCTCTCATACTCTCAATCCTCTGCACACACCATCGTCAGGGATCAACTCTTTCAAGTTCTTCATGGCATACAAGGGAGCCCTCATGGTCACCGACTCGGAGCTGGTCAAAGCCTTTGACCGCTGCAAGGAGCTGGGGGCGCTCCCGCAGGTGCGCGCGGCACGAGCGGGCGTGAACAATGTGATGCGTGAGTATTTCGTAAGATGCTTGGGGCCGCCAGGCGTGCAGTGGCGCCGGGCATTACGGGCGTGTCCGCCGCGGGGTCGGCGGGGTGGGATGCGGGAAGCGCTGGTTGCGAATGTGTGGGACGGCGGAGGGCTGGAGGCTCTGCAGAGTTCGGACGAAACCATCAAGTGTGCACTGTCTCTCATTGAACCACACAATTCCTTGCCCCCCAACGCGTACCCCCCACAAACACACATACAAATAGACACATGTGTATAAACACCCACTCACACACACGCACCCAGGTCCACGCCGAAAACGGAGACGCGGTGGCAGAGGGCCAATCAAAGGTCTTCCAATCCGGCGTCACCGGCCCCGAGGGCCACGCCCTCTCACGCCCTGCGGTGTTGGAGGCCGAGGCCACGGGCCGCGCGATCCGCCTGGCGGCCTGGGTGGGGGTGCCGCTGTACGTGGTGCACGTGATGAGCGCCGCCGCCGCCGACGAGGTGCGGCGGGGGCGCGGCGAACGTCTGGCTCCGCGC